TACTTTGTTAAAGTTATGTTTGAATAGATCTAAAAAAATATATATATATAGTTGTTCTCATATTATAATTAGTTTTATGTATCAGTCAAATAACATAAAGTACTTGAAAAGTTATCCTAATAATAACAAACCTAGTTATAGTTTCAATAATACCTACATGTGTGCCAACTTTAATAACGTTATATCAAACCATACATTAAAAGTAAAAAACGCGTTTGATGAATGTCTGTAGATCATGGGTTGTGCGCTTATATTTATTTACAAAGTGCTTTACAATCATAATCCACGCTATTTTCTTTTAATAATAGTTTATTAAAATTCATATTTTTTCCCTCTTTTTACAGTGAATATTTTAGTGGATATTTTTTTTTTCTGTAAAATGTTTGATGTACCTAATTTAAAATTTTTACTAAGAGTTTTTTAGTTATTGAAATGTTAATACTAAGGATAAAAAATTACATGCAAATGGCTTACGAACACATAAAACAAAGGTAATATTGGATCTAGTATTTATTATTATTTATTTATTACATACTTACTTAAAACTTCTAAATACGATTAATTAAAATATTAATTATGCTAATATTTTCAAGTCACTTTCATACCTTTTAAATTAAATAAGACAGCCCCATTACCCTAATTATTACATAAAATTAAATAATTCAGATCTACTCTGACAATTTTAATTGTATTACATAAAAATAATCGAAAAACATATTCAATAAATCAGGGGTATTCAACCCCCAGTATATATGACGCAGCTCTCACTTCCGTTTAAAAACCATCAATTAATTGTATAATATAATAATTAAAATCCGGATTCCCATGCAATTGCATCTTTTTATTAAGTGTCCTAAATTCTATGAAAACAAGCTACAAATCCAAATCAAGAGATCTAGATTAATTTATAAAAAGTATTATATTGCATAAAATTGTACATTTTGGTTTTTTTTTTTTTTTATAAAAATAAACTAAATAGTACTTTTGTATAAATATTTTTGCTTTTTAATCTATATTCTATTACTATATATCTACTTTATAACATCTATATTATGTTGTTATATGAAGTATTAGACTTTAATATATAATAATATAATTATATAGATAATATAATATATTTATTATATATATTATATATATAATACGATGTAATTAAGATAATAATTATACTCCTAGATAATACGATAGTCGATAAATTATCGATACATATACACATACAGTAATACAGTTTATTCACAGTAACCGATGTCAACTTATGTTTTATACAACAGTTTTATAACTGATACTTCTAAATTAATATCATTTAATTTAAAATGCTAAAACTTTGAAATGTAATTGATTATACATTTTAATCAAACATTATAAAGTCAGTTATTACCCATACCTTCTGTCAATTAATTACTATTTTATTTAAATTAAATTAATCTTTTTTTTTTTAATTTTATATTTTAATATAATAGGTACTTAATAGTTAATGTCAACTAATAAATGATAATATTAAAAAAAATAAATAAATAAATACAATATGAAGTACCTTAGAATGAGAATTATGTTTTTGCACAATTTTGGATATTTTAACATTTTAATGACACGTTCTTTAGGTGTTAGCTGCACAAAAAATCCGGTCTTTAGTTATAATATAACCTGTTCACGGTATACTTTAGTTAACCATTTTTATACTTTATTCCACACACGTACCCTCATAATAATATAACAGATTTTTCGTGGATAACTTTTGAATCGTGTAAATAGTTTTATAAATCATTTTCAGGACTACCATCGCCATTACACACACACGCGCAAATGTACGTATAAGAAAGTCGTTCATTTTGATTTAAAAAGGACATATTGTTGTGAATAAATAAGTACCTCCATAAAATTTCATCAAACCATAAATTAATTTATGCTATTGAATTGAATCGTTTTCAATAGGTTTCAAACCACGCAAGAAAAATGCCATGAAAACAATAATAATAATAATAATACTATTTCACTTTTCAGATTTCTTATTTATCATTTCAGATGTTGTACACGAATACACAATGCTTTATATTGCTACGATTTTGCTCGTTTTTTTTTTGTATGTTATATTTTTGGAATATACATAGTTTTACAATTTTTATAAAATTATGTATAGAATTCACATGATAACCTTCTTTTCTTCTTCACTATTGAAGTTATTTAAAATTGACAAAATATGATTTTCCGAATTTCCAATTATAATTTAAGTCTATATTCTCAATTATTTAGATGTTTGTATTAGTTTTAGTAAGGTTCTCTGAATATATAAAGTCTGTTTTACAAACGAGAACTTCCCTTTAAATTGTAAATTATTTATTGCAGGATGCCCAACATTTTGTGAAGACTGGACCACATCATATGAGTAGAAATTGTTGTGAGCCACATACATTTTAATTATAATATATTCAAATTGCATGCTTAAATTATAATAAAACAAGACATTTTGTCATAATTTTACCATAGTGAATAATAAGTAGAAATATTTTACAAGCTTTACATTTTAATAAAATTATAATTTAAAAATAAAAAAAAAAAACATTAATATAATTTAAATAAAATAGTAATTAATTGACAGAAGGTATGCGTATATAACTAATTTTACAATATTTGATTAAAATTTATAATCAATTACATTTCAAAGTTTATTTTTCCATTAAATCATGTCCAATTTTTAGCATTTTAAATTAAATAATATTAATTTAGAAGTATCGATTATAAAACTGTTGTATAAAACATGAGTTGACAACGATTGCTACGAATAAACTGTATTCTTGTATGTGTATATTTATCGATAATTTATCGACTATCGTATTATCTAGGAGTATAATTATTATCTAAATTACGTCGTATTATATATATAATATATATAATACATATATTATATTATCTATATAATTATATTATTATATATAAAAGTCCAATACTTCATATAACAACATAATATAGATGTTATAAAGTAGATAGATAGTAATAGAATATAGATTAAAAAGCAAAAATATTTATACAAAAGTACTATTTAGTTTATTTTTATAAAAAAAAAAAAAAAACCAAAATGTACAATTTTATGCAATATAATACTTTTTATAAATTAATCTAGATCTCTTGATTTGGATTTGTAGCTTGTTTTCATAGAATTTAGGACACTTAATAAAAAGATGCAATTGCATGGGAATCCGGACTTTAATTATTATATTATACAATTAATTGATGGTTTTTAAACGGAAGTGAGAGCTGCGTCATATATACTGGGGGTTGAATACCCCTGATTTATTGAATATGTTTTTCGATTATTTTTATGTAATACAATTAAAATTGTCAGAGTAGATCTGAATTATTTAATTTTATGTAATAAAGTAGATAGATAGTAATATAGATTAAACAGCAAAAATATTTGTACAAAAGTACTATTTAGTGCATTTTTACAAAAAAAAAAAAAACCTAAAATGTACAATTTTGTGAAACATAATACTTTTTTAAATTAATCTACATTTCTTGTATCTTGATTTAGATTTATAACTTGTTTTTATAGAATTAAAACACGTCATAAAAAGATGCGATTGGACGGAAATCCGGGTATTAATAATTATAACCATCGAATTTCATAATATATCATCATATTATAACTGAATGATGTTATTTAACGTATGTATTAATTGAACATGATGGACGAAACTTAAGTATTTTCTTCAAGTTATCTTGTGAAGTGTAACTGGAAATAAATACTTAATAGTTAAGCTATATTACGGTAAAATACGATACGACCATATTTTTACGTTATATAAATTGAAAATATAATAATTAAGATTTCCAAACCTTACAAAATCTCGAAATATTACTTGAAGTCAATAATACTTAAGATTTTAAATCCAATTTTTTTTATAAGTTGGTATGTTTTAGAAGTTTTATAGTTAATTCATAATCACTGATCTTGATTGAAAATAAAAAAAAAGTTTACACGAATATTGGAGAAACCACAACACATGTCTAATCACGTATTAGTCAGGATATCGTTATTTTGGCGAAGTTTAAACTTCAATTATAGATTAAAAGTAAGTACAACTGTATTTAATTGTATTGAATTTTCATAAAATTTAAAATTTAAAATAAAATTATTCAAAATAAGTTTTTTAAGTATATGGATACAATTAGTCTTAAGTTTTTATAAAAAAAATCTTAGATTATAACAATAAATTAAAAATATTTTCTGTTCCCGATTCTTTTATATTTTGTTAAAATTAAACTAAAACAAAAATAAGCAATTAAATTAAAATGGTTTCAACTTTTTTTAAGCTGATTTAAAATCTAAAATTAATGTTTTTTACGCAAAAATCTTAGGTTTACAAGATGCCGGATTTTATTTACCACGCAAACCGTATACATAGTTTCAACCGAGTGATATAAGCTTTTAGGTTCTTTAATTGTTATTATTGTTATGTGGTACAATTTAAATTTCGATTTAATCGATAATTTTTTAAATGCATAATAGTAAAAACTTGATATTTTTTAATGATATCATTTAAAAACATAATATTCATAATATAAGACAACTTTACACTTTACGCTGAATTTTAAATAACGATTTAACACAATAATTATTGTTAGCTTAATCTTACGAATAATAAGCAGTATATCACGTTACCATAATATTATCTAAGTAAGTAATTTTGTGTATATATATATATATATATATTCTACATATCTACGAAGGGTAGAATCCGATTCTACTTGGAGCATAGTATGTTAAACTAGTTACCATTAATACGATTTAGTCTTTCACTGCAAATACTGTAATTTCTTAAATTACTACGAATTTCAAAATTATTTTGTTTTCCAAAAATATCGATAATTTACACTATTGCGGTTCAGTATGAATTCGGTTTAAGCATGGGTTGTATCAAAAATCCACTACTCCTTACACACGTATTAATATTATAAATCAGTCGATCGCATGATGGGTCAAAAATCGTGCTCGTACTTACCGGACGTTTGCTAATGTATGCCTGCGGTTTCGGAGGAATTTGTGATACTTCTGCAGGTCGCCAATGCTGCCCTGTTCCGCTTGCATCTTGGCCGCGACCGTTGCGGTGGAAGCGGCAGCGGTTTCGGCTGCCGCCGCCGCTATAGCTGCTGCTACTGCTGCTGCAGGGCCGGGCGCTTGACTATTGTCGTTGCTGCTGTCGTGGGTATAAGATGGCGTATTGCTGGTGGCACGTTCCTGGATACCCGAACCACCGTTTCCGGACACGTCCAAACTAACGGCGTTCGTCACGCTCTTAGTGCGCAAGTTCTTTTTGCGTTTCCGGTCGGCGGTGGGCGCCGACGACGACGACGACTGCGACTGAGCTGACTGCGGCTGCTGTTGGTGTTGGTGGTGCGCCAACACCACCGCCGTAGTCGCTGCCGCCCTGGGCCAGGTCGTGGTCGTCGCCGATGGGATACCACCAGACGACGACGTCGGAGACTGGCAACCAGCTGTCTCGCGGACCGTCAGCGAACGGTCGCCGTCCGCGGACGAAGTCGGCTGATCGTCGTCCTCTTCCTCCTTGATGTCGTGCAACTGTTGCTGCTGCAACTGCTGTTTTGCTCCCGATGTGGCGGCAGCGACGATGTGCGGCGGCTGTTGTTGCTGTTGGTTTAGATCGCCAGCGACTGGAACGGCGTGCGGGGTGGACGACGACTTCCGGTCGGCGTCTACGATGACGGAACACGGCGACGACTGCACTTGGCATCCGGTCGACGACGACAGGGTGACAGCGGCGACCTCGACTCGTCCCGGCGCTGATATGGTGAATAAAGACGGCGACGTTATTACCAATACCGCTGTAGTTTCCGTCCTGTGGTGGTTACCGCTTTGTTGTTGCTGTTGCTGCTGGTCGTCGCTGGCTTCGGATGCTGCTGCTGCAGCGTCGTCGACAGCGGCGGCGGCGGCTGCCTGGCGGCTGTGGCGAAGGCGGCGGCGGCGGCAGCTTCGGCAGCAGCAGCACCACCAGCTGCACTTGCTTGACGCGCCCCCCACGCCGCCGGCTGCTCGACCACGCTCGCCGTTAGTACCGGTGCAACCGGCGCGTGGACGATGATCACGCAGCCGTCCGTTCCGCTGATCCGGCCACTATTATACTACTACTAGCTCAATCAACGATCACCCCGAAGTTGCACACCGGCCACGGTCACCGTCGTTCGACGCTGCTCCTGCGCTCGGTTCCGCTTCAGTCTGGGATGATCGCTATCGTCCTCTAACTTCCGGTTCGGCTGTTTCAAACGTCCGCCGACTACGTTCATAATAAAATTATTTCATTCGGTCATTTTTGATTTTACCACGCGCCAGTCCGATGTGTGTGCTCACGTCCTGTGCAGAGGAACTGTCTTATATTTGGGAAAAACAAATTATTTTCTTTTTAATTTTTATACAATATTATAATTATTATTTTTTTTTATGTATATATATAACTTATACACAATATTAACATAGTATAAAACCATCACAATATTACGGAACTGTTAGTTCTATTGACATTATGGACCACCACTGCTCTGATCGTACCAGAGTTGTATCTCGTGTGTATGAATATAACTGATAATTTTTATATACTCGTTCAAGTTAGTTATTACCTCATAATAGAGGTCTTCAAACTTTTATTCCGATAATACTACTTAAATATAATTAATTAGTGACATATCATTAAGACCAAAAAATATAACATTAAAATCCAAAATACAATTTTACTATATTTGTTTTGTGAAAAACATTCGCTGAGAATATTCTCATTTAAATTTTTTATTATTATTATTTTTTTCAAAATCATATAAAAATATTGTTACTCAATTAATAAGATAACCAACTTACTATAAACATATTATTTAGACTTATTATTATAGTAACTAACAAAAAAAATACCTCTATCATTTATAGTTCCGGTGCAATATTAACCGTAAATTATGTTTTTATTTATAAAACATAACGGTTCTTTCAATTTGATTTAGTAGTTAAATTATTTTTGATATGTATCTATTGATTAAAAATACATGAACACTATTGATTATCTATTGAATAGAGAGATTTTTACACTAAGTCAACCTTAACTGATTGAATTACTATATAAATAATAATGTGCGTTTCTACAGAATTAAACTATAGACAATAAGTATTTCGTTCGAACATTAACATAATAAAATATCATGATTGTATTAAATCATTCAAATTGTATTAATCGTAAAAAAACGTGGGTGGTGAAGTATAATTTCAAAAGTAACTTACAGATAAATTTAAAACTAAAACCTGATCTGTTTAAAAAACATGTATTCAATCGTACATGTACATATCCACTCACATACTCTGGAGCACGTGGAAAAGTTAGCGAAACTATGGCTTTATAGCGTCGTATAAATATCACGTTTCGGTAAACTCGTATATTACCATAATTTGTATATCGTTACTGCCAACGTATTGTTTGATTTGCATAAAAATAACTACAATAAAAAAAGTTCATTTCACGTATGGAATCATAATGTCGCTTCAAATTGAGCAGATTAAATACATTAAATATTATACGACAAAACAGATGATTTTAATCAAATTTCCTATTTTCGTACATTATTCTCGAACATTGTGAATGATCACCAGGTACCTGACTTAGTGTATTAAATTTTGTTCGTAACTAGCTCTTATATCTAAGTACAATTTTACATCTATCGATAGGGGCAATATGAGTGGTATTAAATTTTATGTAAAACTCTATAGAATAAATTGTCAAATATGTAGTAGGTACATAGTAAAATGGATAAATAAAGTTAAACTTGTCTCAAATATTGTAACAAGCATGGTAAAATATAATGTTAAGTTACAAAATCGTAGACGATAATTGAAACCAAAAGACAATTATTCTAATACTTTTTTAGATTGATATATTATTTGTTATAATAATATTTTTTAATATTTTTTTTTAAGAAGCTATATCATAAATTGGATAATAATAAGTCAGGTATAACATACCGACTTAACGACACATAAAGAATTGAAAAAAGGTATAACATGGTAGATAAATTGATAATTAGATCAAATCGTATTTGAAAATATTTAATTTTTTTTAGTTTTCCGACTAAATTATTATTTAGTAAAAATGTATTCTTGAAAACTCTTACCTAATCGCATTGGTTTATCAGATAAACTTTATCTTATCAAATCTATTATTCTAATTGAAATAATAAAGCAGTTGTATCGTTAAGACAAGTGTTATATTATTAATTATTTATTATGATAAAAGTTATTACGTCAACAATTTTGAGCCACAATTAAAGTATTTGTTATAATAATCAATTTAATCAATTCTTATATTATTTCTATCTTCCTGGCGGTGACCGTTAATTGGTTAATCTGTTATTAGTAATTACGTATCTATGTAAATATATAATATGTAATATATGTATGATATTGTACAGGTTGTTGTCTTTTGTGCAATAGATAGTATAACAGATCGAAATTTTACGGTTAGGTTATTCATGATCGAGTCTTACCAGTTTAAAATTAAAGGTATAATAATTTGTATACAGCATCACATAGCATAATATTTCATTATTATTTTTTTTCTACGTAATGGCGATACTGTGTTAAATACTATACCGCAAGCCACGTTTCTCGGGGTACTATTTATATAGAAAACTAAAAACAAACACAAAAAAAGAAAAAAAACCACACAACTATTACAGCACAAAGATAATTTGGCGAGCTTTGTAAGTCTCGAGGGCATAATACATATATTATTCGTGTCGTCGCATTACGAACAAAGGATGTAGTCTGTTTTATATCATTAAGAAACCATTGGTTCAAATGTGCGGTTTTTTTTCGAAACTACTAATCATCGTAGACTTCGTAAACAGCAAACAGACTGTACAACGAACATGTGTTTAAAACATAGCCACTTCACCTAACCGAAATTTATAGTAATTAACTCACTTTATAGATCGCAATTCAAACGGGCCATACACTTTGTCCATACATTAATCTATAATAATATTATAATAAAATATATTATATTTTGTTTATACTTTCGTGATTTTACGAATTCGTTAGTTATTTTAATTCATTTTTATTAATATCGCGTTCAGATATTATTTTGAGTCGTATTGAATTAATATTTTATAATATTTAATAATATTTTATATTTATGTGAATGCCTATATCAGGAAAAAAGAACTAATGAATATATAATTTCAATTTGAATAGTTGTATGTGTAATTTTTAATTGAATCTAAGTTCTTGGATGTGGATTGTATGCCAAATTAAATTGTTAAATATTTTTTAAAAGCTTTAGCCATACATCTATACTGAGTTAGATTATTTTACAACTTATGACATGATACCGTTCTAATAATTTGTATCATTATTTTCCCATTACCAACAATTAATATTTGTAGTTATTCAACACAATGTCATAAAAGCTTGTGCATTATTAATTCATCATGCTTTTTTAATCACTCAAAGATTTTAATTTAAAATACATTTTTAAATTCTACACAAACGAGTCTAGCAAAAAAAAAATAAGTACGGTTTTGATTATTTTCAGTTATTTAAAGAGAATTGTAAATTAGTAAGATGTTATACCAATGATTTTTACTAATAAAAATGAAAAATTTTTTTGTATTTAAATTAAAAACATTGTTAACAATTAACATTAATACTTTAGAATCTAGACATTAGCATTATATTTACCAAAACAAAAATGTTAAATTTATTATATAAAATTATACATTCTATACAAAAACATTAAGTTTTGATTTAAATGGTTTAATACTATATAAAATTTAAAAGGTCACTTATCCGCAGTATCTATCTGTTGCGTTATATATAATACGTATTAATGGATGATTGTGTTATAATCGTAGTGTATTTAATATTATCTCATTGTTAATATATAATTTTTAGGTTTTAATTATTGTTTTTTATTTTAATTAATCTTTGTGTGTCATTGTAGGAATCCTGTTGTATGATTGCTTTAGGGAGCAAAAATAAATTTTTATTTCAATTTATTTTTAAAAGTAAATTACTTTATTGAAATTATTATTTGTATTACTTTTAAATGCAATACATTTGTTTTTAATATTTAAATTATTAATATTACAAGGCTGTTATTAGTGTTCCTAAGTTAAGTATACAAATTGGTTTAATTTCTTTTTGTAGTGTTCTTTTTATATTTTTTATATTGTCTTTTACTGCATTAGCTTTATTTTCCACATTACGCGTTGCCTTGTAAAACATAAAGTCGACTTAAAACGGCAAATTACATTTTTCTCAGAAAACGTATTTCAAAAAAAAAAGAAGCAATTTTGTCTACAGTCTTCATACGAACTGGCTCAAAAAAAAAATTAATTATAACGAAACAATAAAAAATACAGATATAATAGGACATTTGTTGTAATTCATTTGCATACGGAAATATAATTCAAACTGAATTCGAACTAAGTATAATTTGATAATAATTATTATAATTAGAGTATAAAAGGTACAGGTATGGGCATGTGATTCTTTTTTTTTATAATACACGAAATATAGGTAATATTATAATATACATATACTACAATTAGGTCGCTTGACCATATTATTATTAAATTAGTATTTATATTATAGCTGTATTATGTACACGCAACGCATGCTGTGGACTATCAAGTATCTACGTCGTAAGTTTAATAATATAATATAGAACTTTGATGAGAGGTCGAGATCATCTACAGCTAGAGATTCGGCATTTATATAAATACAATAATGGCACTTGGAATGGGCGGTTCGTAAAAGTCATAAGTTCTATTTTATAAATATAAAAAGTGAGAGCAAAAAAGTTATTTAATTATACGCAATTTATTATGCATACTTTGTTTTCTGATAGAATCTAAACATCTTATTTATGTACTGTTACAATTATTTCAATTCGGGTTACGATTATTTTGCTCTTTTAATATATTATGATGTTTTAATAAACATAAAATATAAACTTTTTGTTTGATTTAATATAACTTAAAATTTGGAGCCATTTAATTAGACGTTTAATGACTGGTGAAATCAATAACTCTAATAAAAAAAAATATTAAAAAAATTTTCGGAGTGTTTAATGATTAACTCTTTTTTTTTCAAGGAGACTCCCATTAATCCTATTAATCTGACCGTTCAGAACTATCATGGTGGTTTATGTGAAGATGACGCGAGTGAAAACGTTGACGTGTGTAACTATATGTTATTTATGTGCCTGTTGGGACCCGCACACGTATGTCTCTTGGCGAGGTTGATATCG